TTGGTCATGGCAGGTTTATGTCTCCAAATTTTGTGCCTTCGCATTGGATAGAGCTCCAAGGGAAACATATGTCAACTTTGGTCGCACCACTTGTTGCCTGAGAGATGAAATCTGAGGAGACATAAACAGGGAACTGAGAGTCAAAATGCAGAAATGAAGTACGGGATGACGCAAGTCATCTTAGGACACATTTGCTCATATGACCAATGAAAATACCACAAGGGATAGATACCAGCGGTATCTGCTGATGTTTCTCATGGAGCTGTAGTTGTTTTTGGCATGAAAATCAATCTGACATTTTGTTATAAATAACTGGTTAAAAGCTGAAAATAGTGTATCATATGATGACAGTAATGGGCCTGCCAAAAATGCTGCCAAAAATACACTCAAAAAAAAGAGTTACTGGAGACATCCAAATTTCACTGACATTAGAAATATGTTTATTTAATAATAGCTGTATTTACCTGCATTATATTTATTATGTTGTAACTGATGCATACTATCCTGTGTAGGCTACAAAAAATGAGAGATCTAATTGTGAAAAATAAACAAACAAACAAAATCCTTCACATCCTTCCTCTAAAATAAAAATATAGCAAAGTCTATTTAGACCACGCCAGTGTCTTATAGCTTTATAATGATATCACAACTAAGTGATTTTTTTCCTTGACTGGACTGAAATGCCAAAAAACAGAACATGACATATTATGTGATCATGGCCACACCAGGCTGCTCTGGCAGCTAACTTAACTAATGTAAAATATCAACGTAAACAAAGGATATAATGTGATGATGGTTACATTACATTCTAGTAGCATTGAGTTATTTTCATAATAACTATATTTAATCATTATTAAATTCTGCTCGACTCACCACTATCTTGCTCTTTCCTTCTTTTTTCTCTCACAGAAGGACAACTCTTCTTCATTTTCATTGATTGTCAGTCAGTCATTTGGTTTGTTTAAACAGAATCATAAACACCACTTGCAGTGGGAGTGAGAGGAGTAAGGTGGATCCCCCTTGGGGAGGTCTCTCTGACTTTCACGTCAAACTTTGCGCATTGCCACTGCTGCAGTTTAACGTTTGTTATTCCTCACCTGGGGCCCACACGGTTACCTGCCTTGCCTGCTGGCATGAGGCGCCTCTGGGTCTTATATTATATTATGGGATAAATTGATGTACCATGTAAATTGCCTGGCAGGTTTCTATTAAAATTATGTAACAGCACATGTCAGATGTACAAGATCCCAGAACTCTGCAGTTAAAAAACAAAAAACCCTCCTAATTTTATTTTAGCTGTCTCTCGTTTAATATCGTGTTCTTCTGCATGTCTGGGTGGCTGCTGTTTTTAGATCGTTCAGATGTCCCATCGGTCCACTTGTACTTATGCATCTGTGATGCACACTGGATTTACACTTTATCAAAATTCTGACTCTTCACCTTGATTTCATTTTGGGGAAGTGGAGGATCTCACAGGGAGGCAAATCTGGTGAGTGGGGCAGGTGCTGATTGTGTTGACGCGGCAAGAAAAGTCCAGCTTTTCATCATGTGCCTGCATCAGAGTTTAGTCTGTTTCTGCTGAATATTCTCCTCTAGAGACCTCAGAAAGCTACAGTGTTGGCAGTCGCACCCACTGGTACAAGTTTACAGTGTACAACCTCATAAATGTAACAAAAAGGAAAAAAAGAGCAAGCTGCTCTATGGGCTTGGAAACTGTGGACTCTTCTACTGAAAACTGCTGGGTTTTAGCCAAAGACACAGCTCTCATCACCACCAATGATCCTCAGCATGGAAGTTGAGCCAGTTTGAGACATTAATGCTAAAATGCAAAAATATCAGAAAAGGGAAAATCTGCTGAGTATTTTATGTTATTTTATTTACCTGGCAACTTTTTGATTGTACCTTGTAACTGCGTATCATACCAAATATTTCTAGTTAATTTGTTCATTGTGTGTGTATCTTTAGAACATTGCTTTTGGATGTCCTCCTTTCTCTCTGTTGGACAAAATCATCACATAAGAACTACTGGATCAGTGCCATGAAGACTGGCACGGTTATTAGTGTCCTCTCAGATAAAATATGCTTAAAATTTTGTATTTAGTGCCGTCATAAGAAAAACTAAATCTATATCCAGTGCTTCAGTTTATATGTGATTATTACATTCCGATCATGCTGTAAAATCTAATTAGTTCTTAGAACTTAAAAAAATGATGCAAACTCATAACCTCAAAACAACCAAGTAAAGCTTACTTCAGATAACTAAGTTAGGGCAACTTATTTATTGCAAGTATACAGTACTTGATCTTTCTGGGTGAGCAATGCTAATTGTTTACCCACTGATAAACATTTCAAGTTCTACTAAATTAAAAAACAATTTGTAGTACACTTACTGTTTTTAATTTTGCTAACACACAAATTATATGCAACTGAATCACATTATGTTTTATCATCCTTGAACTTTAGGGATTTCTAGTACAACACTGATGGAGTTAAAATCAGCCCAACTTTTATTTATCAAAGTTTAAAAAAAAAGTATATCAGCCAACATAGCAGACACTGTTCTGCTGAACATCAAACAAGTATATTGCCACCATTGTGTTATTCAATTACATTTTTAAAATTAGCAAATTTAAATTGCATATTTATTTGTTAGCAACTTTAAACAAAGATTTAATTATTTTGAAACTAAGTTTAGTCTTCCCATAACTTCCTATTGCAAATTACATTCCTGATATAATCATGATAGAATGTTGAAACGATTGTTCAGAAAGTGTTCAGAATTCAATTGCAAGTAATATCACTACTACTTGAGAGGCACCTTTGCTGGCAGGTTATGTCATTCTGCACATGTTAACAAGGACTCAGAGCTGATATGAAGTGCATTCTCAGAGTGCCACTAGCAAAGCTGTAAGATCTGAAATATCAGCATATTATCTTATCATGTTCCAAAAATGAAGTATTTTATCTTTTAACACATCTACAGAACATTAACTTCTGAGGCCGTTTGTGTAAATGTAAAAACAAAACTGAGATGGCATTGTTGATTAAAGGTTGAAAGCTGTATATTGGTAGACGGTATCATTTTTGGGAATGTGTTTAAATACTTGCAGCATATTTATTATGAGAGCACATGTGCCCCTCAGAGTTATACATTTCATTATGGATCACTGCAATATAAGTTCAGAGTGTATGTGGGATAGCACAAGTGCAAATAACAATACATTTTATTTAAAATAAGAACGCAGTATTAGAAAGAGTGATGCATAAACTGTGGAACTAAGACAGTCTGTGACACAGGTATGATCATCTGATTTTATTTTAATAACAATTACAAATATTTCACAATGTGACTTGCACAGCCGAGTGCAATCATTATAAATCTAAATGAGACAAAATCAGATATTATTTTCCCTGTTTCAGTATGCAAATATGTGCACAAAGTAGCCTTAAAGGAACAAACTAGTGCTACTAAAAGCCACCTCACTGATTGACTACACTCTCCTCCTGAAGCCATCCCAAAGGATTGCTTATTAATATACACTATGATCATTAACTATTTAATTACTGTAGTTTAATGACTCGTGGCGTAGGCTGTCTGTGTGCTTTCCTGAACTCATTAAGACTGATATTTTTATTTATTTATTTATTTTTCTGGCTTGTTGGCAGCTCAACAACTCACAGATGGTTGGGTTAAAACCAGAATTTAGCGAACAGTTGTGGCCTACAAAATGTAACAGACGTCTAAAGAAAAATCTAAATCGAATTGGTATGTGATTCACCACAAAAATGTATGAAAACTGTTGAAGTACTGAAGATTTCTTCAAATTTGAATATAAAGCATTTCGGAACTTGATTTAATGACAAAATGAAATACATAAATAATGACAGGCACGGTCAGATTGTTTTTCAATTTTCTCATTCATAATATGTTAGAGTAATCTGTATTCTCTTATTGCACTCCATGTTAAGTGGAGTGACATCACACACTGTAAAAGACACTTTAACATACTCGCTTTTGAATTTATGACCCAGGAGGAACATACTTTAGAACAGGAATCTAGCCATATTTCATCCAAAAAGTACTTTGATAGAGGATATGCTGTAGAATTCCATTGCTGGCTCTATTAGGAGGAGAAAAAACTAGATGGCCATGCATGTTAAAAGCCTATGTGCCATCAAAGCCCCTTGGGCTACAAAGGGCTCTTTTAGCAAATGGATGGCAACAGCTGCAAACTCTGGGCTGTTCTTAATGTGCACGATGCAGATGTCTGCACTTGAGTCCCACAGTCTGAGACAGATCTGTCTGCCTCTACACTGGGCCTCTCTCATCATATCACTGTAGCTTCATTAAGCACTGAACTCAAAATCAACATCTGCCTGACAGTTTTTGCTCCCCAATTAAAGTAGAAAAATACCAAAAACTACTGTTATAACCATCAAAGGCTCTTATTATATACTGTATGTATCCTTTTATCTGTCTTGTGTTAACTTCAGATAAAATGAAGACATACGTTATACTAAAGTAACTCACATATGGAAACTGTAGCTTTGAAAAACGCTTTGAATCTGTCGTCTTTGTCTCATAAGGTTAAAAAAAAATACAGTGAACTACAGCAATGACTGTGAACAGATCGATAAGGTACAAAGAGAACTGTCCCGCTGTAGCCTGGACACTATTTGTGCTTTTTGAAATTGTTAAATATTGTACTAACAAGGTCTATGTTTGTTAAATTTGATTTATTTGTAGTCTTATTTATTTACAGAACAAACGTATCATGTCTTACATTTAAGGCTCACAAGAAAATAATAATAATAATAAAAAAAAAAAGTCCAAATAAGCACCGGCATGAGGTGACAAGGATAAATTACTGGTCGAACCGACTGGGAAAAAGCTGCAATTACCAAAATCAATACACAGCGATAAGAAATGTGCTGCAGACATAAACCATATTCAATCAGATAACACACATCTATCCAATCAGTGAACTGGGACAGAACGCTTTTGACTATTGAACTCATTTAATGCTGAAAACAAATACAAGTTACTTCACTGGGTCATCACAATTGAACAATAGATTTTTTTGTTTTTTGTATTTGTATCACCCTCAGAAATATACATTCACATGGCTGCATACAGACAATTTCTCTCTTTTGACTTTCTTTTAATAACATTACATCGACACACTGTATGCATTACCCCCAACAGTGAAGCCACTACTGGCATATTAAAAAAATGTACTAGGGGAGCATTTTTAGGTGGGACTTTGGAAATAAGCTATGCATCAACATCATCTATCCATCATCGAGTCTCCATGTTTGTGGTCAAAATAGGCATATTTTACATGACAGGGTCCCTACACGGCTGTCCCGAAATAAATCCCAACTATAATCTCAACCTTATGTACATTATTTACAGTGGAATGTTGAAACATACTGAAACATACAAAAAAAAAAAGAGAGATTAGGATGGAATGAAATTACAGTCAGTATTACAAAATAGAAACTCATAAAACCCCAACGACATGAAGACAATGTTTACATATACAACTATACAGACTGTTGACCCCAAAATAAAAGGCTTTCTCATGCCAACATATCTGACAAGCAAGTGTGGCAGTGGTTACATAACTGATGTTAGATGTCAGATGAAACCTTAAAATTGTGCTTTAAAAGGGGGTGATGTTTGTAAGTACAAGTTGAATTTCTCTTAACTGGACCAGCGTTTCAAATGTTGTGCTCAGAAAATTCAGCGACGTGCAACCAAGTTGCAAAGGTTAGATCTCTTCAGGTGTTCAACTCTCAGAATTAGTGCAGAATTAGCTGATTTAAAGATCAGGTGTACACACATTGTTTGTACCTTGCTAAAGCTCCTCTATACCTGCTATAATATTCACTGTAAGCAAGCGACCATAAGCTGTCTTATATTTAACAGGTTTGCGGTCTGCATTGTAGTTTAATAATATCCACGATATTATTCTGGGTATGAATAGCTTGAATGGTGGAGCAGTAACTGTTTAGACTACCCCATGCCTCCTAACTTTGACAGGCACTGAATGCATGAACAAAGGATGCTTTCGATATGTTTGTGTCTATTATGCTGTGATGCAAACTGTGTGAAGTTCAAAAGTTACAGCAAAGCACTCCACCTGCAGGTGAACAATAAAGTAAAGACTATAAAACTGTATTTTGCTTCAGAATATTGAAAGTAGCAACCCCACTGCTGTCAATGAGCTTCCCCCTCTGAAACCTTCAGTGGCAGACCTTGTACTCCTCACTCCATAGTAGATGCACTTAACAGAAAAGAAGTAAGGCTTTAGAAAATAAGGCTGACTAACTAAATTGAGACTAACAGACTTAAAAAAAAAACAATTCCCCATACTGTGATGCTGATTTGTTTTGAAAATACAATATAGTTTGAGGTTCATGATTAACATGCTCATCTAAAAACATACAGTAGACAAGCGTGGACTGTAAAACATTCACATCTCGAGCAGAGGGAACTGCTCTCACAGAGATGTTATTTTTTTTCATTTTTATTATTCTATATATATTTATATATACTTTACACTTTTCTTGTGTTAACTGCAAAATTGTTGCTGGGTACTGTGTACCTAGGAACTCATACCTCTGTCAATACTGACGACACCGACAAAGTGTAGTCTTCTGAGCTGCAAATGAGGATAAGCACACTGGAACTGATAGGAAAAAAATAGCAACATATGCACTTCCACTCCCACACACAAAACATGCATAAAATAAGGCTTAATACAGTATTTATATTGTTCAGAGCCAGTCAGATATGTCGTTTACATTGATAGATTTCCTCCAATGCTTCCATTATAACCAATTTTTCACATTGCGCTTTTTTTTTTGATGCAAATACATTTTGCTGATTGTGTAATGAACCTCTGTGCTGAGGAGAGAAACAAGTCATTAGCTATGCTAGCATCCACTGGCACTTGTTAGCGGTGATTTTAAAAACATATATAGATATAGTATATAGAGAGCCTGCAGACAGAGTCATTGATTCCCCATTAGCAGACTGAGATGCCAAAATTAAGGAAGCAACTCTTATAATTTTAAAACCACCTTAAAATCTCTGGATAGTCACTTAAAAAGCAAAAGAAAATGAACAAAAGCATCATGAAAGCAGCAGGTGACTTCAGAAGGGCCACCATATTTTAAATTCCCTTTACTTGTTAGCATGTTTTCTCTTCAGACTGAAATGAAAACATCAGTTTCTCCTATTTGTGTCCTTTGTGTCCATGGATGACTCCTCATAGAAAATGCTGTTGATGTAAGCCAACTATTCAGTAAAGTCACAATTATAAAGAGAGACAGAGTCGTTACAGGAAAACTCCTCAGACACTTTTGACTGACATCCATTTGAAAAGAAGAAGAAAAAAAAAAAAGAGGGTCAGAAAAAAATATAATTATGACAGCTAAATGCAAAAGACAGACATTTCATTACAGTGGTAAGATTTCGAGATTGTGTACACAAGTCAAACTGTTCAAGTCAAATGACAATCATGACATTTCAGAGCATTTTTGAAGATTTCCCTGTGAAACTCACCAAGTGTCTTTTGGACATGACTGTGATGCACCACTGAAAAGTAGAAACTGTTTTGTATGATACAATTGCAGCCCTTCTCTCCTCGGCTATACTGCTGCAACAATAAGGGCACTAACGCTTGAAATTAATAAAAAAAAAAAAAGCATACTGGATATTTATATGTTACTGCCATGTCCATATGGCTCAGTAGACTGACTTCCTCTCGGTAAAGAAACAAGTCGAGCACATAAACACAGGGGGTCAAGAAATGCTAGCCACACCTTTGGAAAACAGCATTAACATATGTGTTTTAATGCTGTGAATATATAAAAATTAGTAACGCTAACCCCACTGAGAAACAGTATGTATCCCATTTCCCCCCCCCCAATTTCTCTGAAACATTTGACCACAAAACTACACACACGTAGAACTCCACCTGTAATTATGTTAGACACTTAACTCTCAGTTCTCTGGTCACTTAAAAATCATACAAAAAGACATTTATAAAAACAATAACAAAACTGCAATGCTAATGTAGAAAGAAAAAGAAAACAAACTGAACATCCAGTGTAGGACTTTCACAAATGTGCTCAGCAAAACCTCAACCTGCTGTCTCTTTTTATACATTTAACACATTTATAATATGAAAAAATACACGAAATGAAGAATACACCAGGATTAATCGACCAATCACCACACCGACCTTGTATGTCAGCAACAGTGTGTCCATCTACATACCTTCGTTTGTACACTTTGCCCATTCACCTGATGGTACTGATACCAATGCTGAGAAGTTGATGTTGCTAGCACTTTAAATAGACACTTGATTTTCTAGTTGATATTAGTTGGATGGGGTCAGATGTGAAAGGGGGCGGGATATTAGGGTGACCAAAAGAGGGACTATGATAGTGCAGTTTGATAAATGGGAGGGTGGGGGTCGTGATGGAGGTGAAGGGTGAGGTGGAATGGAGGTGGGGGACAAAGGGTTGTTTGGTTTGGTTGTTGCATGCCACTACACATACCATTCTTTCTTAGAAATGACAGAACCATCGGTTTGAGAGATCATATCATCGGCTATTTCAGATTCAGGCTCATACTGGAAAGCCAGAGTCCGCTCATCGTAATCTCGGCTCTCTCCTTCATCCACAGTGAAATAGGGCCTCTTCAGGTCTGATTCAGCATCGAAATCACGGTCGCCTGCCTCAAACCCTCCAGTGGTACCAATCTGGGCGGGTTTCTTCTCTTCGTCCGAGTCGTCCGGGTACTGCAAGTTCTTAGGGATGGGGGGGTGGGTAGGCAGCCCACCAGCCTTGCTGTACCCATTTCCGAACACATGTTTCTTGGTGCTGTAGTCTCCCTTGAAGGTGCGCTGGCGGCGGCGCAGGAATATGAAGAGCAGTATGGCCGCCAGACCCAAGAGGGCAACACCCCCCACAGCACCCCCGATGGCGACACCTGCATTGTGTTGCTCCTGTGGGACATGTGTGGTGCCACCGTAGGTGGGGACAGGAATTTCTGGGTAGGAAAACACAGATGGAAGGGAGTGTGTCAGTGCTCTGGTGGGAAGAGGTGCGTTTGTGCAGGTGCATTTTTTTTTATTTTTTTTTTAGGAAAGATGGAGTAAGGGAGACAAGGACGGAAAAGCAAAGGGGAAAGGGAAGGACCCCTGGCCCCACGACAACACCCCCTCCCAGCCCAACAGTAGTCTTTAGTGACATATCGTAAAAGCTCAGCTACAGCCACATGCAGTTTTAGACGCAGAAAAAATGACTGAAGACATTAAAGTAAATGAAGCTTTGTCAGCATGCATTAACCATCATTTCTTCTCTGATTAGAAGGCGGAGGAAAATTAAACAATTTAATAGGCAAACAGTGAAGGAATTACAACCCCATTTCCAGAGAAGCTGGGATGCTGTGTAAAATGAAAAGAGAATGAAATGATTTGCAAGTGATTTAAAGCCTATATTCAATTGAAAGTGGTACAAATACAACATTTCAAATGTTGAAAATGTCTGCTCATTTTTAAGAATCGTATTCTTTGAGTTAAACAGCAGAAAGGCAACCAGGGTGGAGCAGTGCATGGTCTAAAATGCGTCATTGTGATAACTAGGTGGTCCTACATGCACTACTTCTTTTTTTCCTTTTGTCTTTTTAAGACATGTCTCTGTAAGGAGTCTACTGGCTTATCTGCTGTCCAGACCTGTCCCCAGCACAGTGGTATTGTACTGTTCCTGATGAACATAGGCACTGCGCTACTTGCAAATCATTCTGTTTTTATTCTTACTTTAAACAGCATCCTAACATTTCGGAGATGGGTTTATAATTGATATGGCTCTTCAGTTAACAAGTTTTACTTACAAGTCAAAGTAAACATATTCAACGATATACTGCAGTACAGTCCAGCATAAATAATTAAAACAAGACATTTTGATCACCAGCATCGTGGTAATGAAATGAAAGAGCACTGCCAGAGATGATTATCAGCAGCCAAGCATACACAGCCATGATGCACTTAGAGAGCTGATAAACACGAAGCTCTTCCATTCAAGCAGAGGAGCACATGGCAAAAAATAGCATATGCCTCCATGAAAAATATATATTATTGACTACAGAGAGAGGAGGAAAAGAGAGAAAATTATCATAAGCCTCGGTGTTCTCCAATCTAGAACAGAGCGAATATGACTAATGGCCTGTGAGAGATAATGACAAAGATGCTAGAGTATGAAGGCTGCGATTTCACCTTGCAAAAGCCAAAGGAATATGTTGACTCTATACTGACATTCAAAATTCAAATTCCCAACTGCCATGTCCATAGCATCACTAAAATGAGGCGCTGTGTTCAGTCCACCATTTAGAGAGTGCCCAGCGTACATACAGGAAAAAACAAAACAAAAAAAAAAACACAAAACAAAAGGACTACTTTTGAGTCAAATGTGGGTGCAGCATACAGTAAAACTAACATGAAAGTGCTGTCCCGTATGTGTACATCTTCACTTGAAACTACAAACTGTGCAAAGCTCCTTAGAGCACACAGACAAAAGGGACTTTTTATCTGAAATGTGATCAAAGCCTTGAGGCGCATAGGTAGTGCTTAGGTAAACCGGCAGAGCAGAAGCACATTTAACTTCAATGGTGAACACTGAATCCTCAACAGAAAGGTAGGGGGATACAACACAGTTACACCATCTACTAAACAAATGGTGTGGGAAAGGCCTGGAAGAAGGGAATACGAGACTGTGAGAAACAAAGGAATGAGCTTCCTGTTCACACGGAGCAAACCAGAGAATTGTATGTAAAGTCCGAAAAAAGGCAGGGAAAAGCAATATAGGTGAAATACATGCTGCTTTTTCATTTCCTTCTGATACTGTCTTTCCAGTCTTACTGCTTAATTACACGCCCATTAGGCACATGATAATGTAACACACACTGATAACACTAAATACGTTAGCTGTATTCGAAAAGAAAAAGGATGCGTTTCTTATTTTATGACATTTTTACGACTGAATTTCAGCTGTAGTCTGTACAACATGCACACAAATGATTTATGGTGCTTATTAAAGGTTTTAAAGGCAACAACCGAGATCAGAATTGTATGTGTGTTGATCTAACAGGGGTGGGGAAAATATGCATGGGCAAAGTGTCTTTCTGAAATTTGAAGCTCATTTACAAGTAATGGGTGATAATTGAACAAAAATGAAGGTTTATGTTGAGCAATCCTAAATGTTCCTTGGAGATAAATTATCCCCACGCGTAATCAGTAAGTCGGATAGAGGTGAATCAGAACACCACTGCAATAACAGCAAATCTAAGCCATCCTCATCAAGCAACACAAAAAAGACAAATTTCCCACTTAAGCAGAAAATCTTTTTCAAATTATTGCCCTTAACGGGTGAATCAAAGCCATTACACATGGTGAGAAATGCTCTTTACTGGAAATGATGAATCTCAAACCTAATTCAAGTATAAAATGATGGTAGTGAGTGAAGTTAGGAAGCTACTAAAGCCTTCCGCTCTGCTTTAATTACAATGGCACTTTATCAGTCTACAGACGAGACCTCCCAAACACGGTCGCTCTCCGTAGCCGCTCTTCATCTGGACCCTTTCTCCAAGGGCCGACAGCAAAGCTCTCCAATTTCTATAGCCGTGCCGGGCACAGTCTCAAATATCAGCTCAGGTTTTAATCTGACCACCTAATGGGATTATTCAGACACAGGCCTTCATTACACACATCAATGAGAGAGCAGAGCCAGGTCACCCCTGCTAGAGAACACTTCCTCTCACCAAGTCCAAAGACGGGTGAAAATCCAGAGGATTGAAGGGGCAAAGAGAAAAGGAAAAATATTCTCCTGTAATCCTCTCTTCTCCCCTTCACTGCCCTCGTCTGTAACTAGGATCTGTTTTTGCTCTCATCAGTCCCCTTATTCAATCTTAATTAGGGAGATTATTGTACTGCATTTCAAAGGTTGCCAAGACTCCATATTTACCATCATTTAAAGAGGTGAAAAACATAAGGACAGAGCATTTAAATTGCAGAATAGCAGCAGTGAAAGAAGGTGATCCCTGCCATCTTCATTGCTATAAAGCATCAAGCGAAGCTACCTCTGACACTCGTATTTGCCGAATGTGAATGTCAACACTAATAACTGTACAAGTGTTCATTTAAAAAAAAAAAAAAGCACAGACACGAAAGAGGTTGTAAACCTCCAGGTATTTTTTGTGGGTTTTAGGCTGGTGTATCCAGCCTGGAGGAAGCTTTGCAAGCTGCTGCACCAAAAACAACAAATTGCGTTTTCGAAAGGAGGTATTAAGTTGTTTTACTGGAGCGGCAATGGAAGGAGGACTACTGATGTTTTTAGATAGCTTCAGCTCTGTGTTTGGGGCACTTTAAGGGAGAGAGAGGAACTCAGAAAGACCAGAAATTGCTCATCAAATCACTGAGTGCAGTACAGGAACACTGCTTCTATTTTGCAACTTAAAACGCCGTGTTGGCAAAGAGGACTGTCTGCTCTCACCATGTTACCCAGCGCATTTCCTCTCTGTGCTTATCCCTCGGTGAAATCACACCACCAGCCATGTGCATACGTGAACATATCTCCAGCACAGCAGCTTTGTCTAGTTCACGGACTCTGTGAATTTATGTTAAATTAGAGCAGCTAGGGTGCAAGCTAATCACCTTATATAATCCAAAAATAAATGAAATGAATGGCTGGGTTATGTAGGTGTTTGACAGCACAGAAAAATGAGGAGGCGTTTCACTAGCGCGCCTTCGCTGCTGGCATTACCTGCCAATGGACAGATCAAAAAAGACCTCAGCAGCACAACAATGGCCCTGATACTGTTCCACGCTGTAAAAGGCAATGTCTATTAACACCCGTGAGGAAAAATGCAGATAGTGGGGGAACTTTTAGTTGCAACGAATAAAATGTAGTATTGAGATTAATAGGTGGAAGGATGTGCTGTGAAAGACTATAATTCAATCCAGAGGCACGATAGATTTATACAGGGGGGAAAAAATAACAGGAAATCTTACAGCTACTCTAACAACAATGCCATTTCGTATTGGGTTATTCATACCACTCTGAACCCTCACATCTGACATGATCAAGTGGATGATTTACTACCTCCAAATACCCAAGTGACACAATATGTTTTCTTCACAACGCAATGAGAGCTTCTCATCTGAGTCATTTGTGCAAAACACAAGTGAGACTTAAGAAAAAAAATGAATAAATGCTGTGTATATATAATATACATGCATATATATTTTGTAATAAAAATGATTTGTGGCTTCAGAAAACAACATGTATTCTGAGCAGGGGTTTGCATTTCAATGTAGAAGCAGCAGATGCTCGGAGATAGTGCGGGAAATGATTGTAGAAAGCAGAGGGGGCTTTAAAGTGAGAGAAACAGTTTCATAACTCCGTCCTGCAGATACTGTTACTGGGTGTGCTCCAGTCATGTCTGCACATGAAAAAAAAAGGAGGAGAGACAGGTAAAAACATTCCTGAGACTTAGCGCAATCACTTGGACAAGGTTATGAAAGAAGCTGGGAAAATGAGAGAGGATTTTCAAAGAGTGGCGCTGGGAGTGGTGTTTTAATATGACTAAAGGAGGAACAAGCAGCTGACAACAAAAGATGAAAAGAACATAGAGGGCTACTCTAAGAAGTTGAGGAGTGGCAACAAGGAAAACGATTGAGCAAACGCCTTAAGAGCTTGAGGAGTGACAACACAAAATAAAGAATGGCATAATGAGCGAGTGAGTGAGTGAGGAAGGGCACAATCAGAGAAGACACATTAATTCACTGATTTAACAGATCCTCATCACCTCTCTTGTCTGAATTTGCCAGTGGTTTTGAAGTCATGGAAATGTGATGCTGCCACGACGAATAAAAGCTCATCACTGACAGGAATTTAACATGCTGCTTTGAGAGTTGCGGCTGGGGCAAATCTCTTTTTCAGCCTATCAGATATTCCCTCCCAATAGCTGCCATTTCTTCCCGTTTGTCACTATAG